TTCAAGTCAATAAAATTATTATTTCTTTCATTAAGGCCAAAATAAACTTTTTATTTATTTAAATTTGTTAATTTATAATAAATGATAATAATAAAAATTATTATTAAAAATGCACTCTAATATTGTGATCCTTTGATATTTAATTAATATGCAATTCTAATGAGTGTTCACTAGCACAATAATGCATGCAGAATCGATATTTAACCATTATTAATAATTTGTTTATAACAATTGCTTAAGCAATTATCGTCGAATGTTAAATTGATATGCTTATTGCCTGTAAATACAGTGACAATGCATAATCGTAACGAAAACCACATATTGCACGTTAATTTTCCATTTGTTTATCAACAAAATAAAAAAATTATCAACAAATATTATTGTTGAATGTTTATGATTCGTTGGAAAAAAATTTAAGCTATAATCAAATTCGATATGTGTAAAAAAGTATAAGAAATCAAAATTTCACAATTGTTTAAAATTTGTTTATAACAATCGTTTGTTATAACAATTGTCGTTAAAAATTAGAATGATATGATTATTTCCCATCAATCCAATTAAAATGCTTAATTGTGATGAGAACAACATATTGCACGTTAACTTTTCATTTGTTTATTAACGAAACAATTATTATTATTAACAAATATTAATTTTGAATTTTCATACTATTTTAGTGATTGTAAAAATAACCAATGAGCTGAGATAGCTTTCGGCTCACAAAAATTGCAATGATAATTCAATAAATGAATAATTAGGAAATTTTATGTTATAACAAATTGATAATGAGAGACTTCAATTAGCTGTATAATGTTTAAACAAATAGCTAATTAAAAAAGGGAAACGGCATTGGATTCCTCATGATCTCCCGAATCTGACACTATTTTTGGATTTTTTTTCCGTGCTAAAATCCCTTGACACTTTAATTTAGATCATTTTTTTTCAGTTTGGTACCACTGTGCGCCACGACAAGGAATACTTGCTGCATCACTGCATCTCGCCTCATACGCGCACGCGACAAATCGTTAATTTCGATAAACGTAATCGCTTGAGATAATCGCTCGATAAATCGCACTTTACATAAAAATAGGTCCACTCATCGAGATGCGCGATAACAACGGATATAAGGCAAAGCTCGCGCCGTGCTTTCAGACAGATGACGTCTCATGATTTCGTTGTGCAGTCGAACTCGAGCAACGACGAAATGAATCAAAGCTCGAGAGTAGCGTCGAGCAGCGGCAGTGGCAAGGATGCTGCGGGAGTTTACGGACACAGAGAGCGAAGACCGCGAGATTATCAAAGTAAGTTTATACTCTTGTCGAAAGTATTTTTTGTACGACGAGACAATGTTTGTTTACAGTTGCGAAAGCTGACCTGGAACTCCGTCAAAAAAATATCAACTTCTACCAACTCGTCCAAGCTTATCGTGAATTCGGCCACAAGCAGGCCGACGTAGATCCGATACGACTGTCGAAATTGATTCCCGTGGCCGAGCTCGAGCCCTCGAGGTACGGATTGAAGGACAGCGACCGAGTCACCTTGAGAGGTTTACTGAATTACGCGAACGATGACGAGTCGAGCGAGATCGGTCTCGCCGAGGCCGTGGACATCTTGCGCAGCCTCTACTGCGGCAGCATGTCCGCCGAGTTCAGCTACCTCGAGACGGAAGAGGAGCGCGAGTGGTTCGCGCGCACCTACGAGGCCGTCCATCGCGAGCCGATCGCCGACGAGACCAGACGCGCCGTGGCCCGAGAGATGCTCGAGAGCCAGGCGTTCGATCGATTTCTCGCCCGCAACTTTCCCGACGTCATACGCTGCAGCGGCGAGGGCGCCGAGAGCATGCTGGCCTTCTTTCACGAGCTCTTCGAGCTGAGCTCGGGCCCCGAGAGTTCGCTTCGCGAGCTGGTACTCTGCATGCCCCACCGTGGCCGGCTGAACTTCATCACGGGCATGATGGGCTTTCCGCTGGAGCCACCGGCGACATCTCCTTCCACATGATCGGCCGGACCGAGCTCGGCAACGGTCGAGTGAGCGTCGGCATGCTGCACAATCCGTCTCACCTGGACTCGGTCAACGCCGTCGCGATGGGCCGGACTCGCGCCCTTCAACGGCTCCACCGTGACGGCGATTACTCCGCGGAGGACGACGCTGCAGAGGCCACTAACCGGTGGGCCGACAAAGTGCTGAACGTGCAGATCCACGGCGACGCTGCGTACACGGGCCAAGGAGTGAATCAGGAGTGCCTCGCGATGTCGCGCGTGCCGCACTACGAGATCGGCGGCTCCGTGCACGTGGTGCTGAACAATCAGCTGGGCTACACTCAGCCCGCGGCGAGGGGCAGATCGTCGAGGTACTGCACGGATCTGGCCAAGTTCGTAGCGGCACCCGTGGTGCACGTGAACGCGGACGATCCGGAGGTAACGTATAGACGAGCCCCGCGATGAAAATATCGAGCTTGCGTAAAATCGTAAGCAAGATGTTAGGTGTATTGTCGACAGTGAAAGTTCTTACGTAACTTTGTATGTGAAGGGTAAAATCTAGACAAAATACTCCAGTATCGTGAAACTTAATTAATCCTGTTACAAGAAATATTGCAGAATAAATTTTTAATAAGAAATTACTAACATTTCTAGGACTTTCAAGATGATCACGCATAAGATTTTATGAAAATTCTTCTTATTCCGTATATTCATCGAGTATATATTGTAAAATTGTGGATTGTATTTTTTTTTGTCGAGCGCAGATGGTCCTCAGAGCCGCGCGCATCGCCTTCGATTATCAGAGAAAATTCCGCAAGGACGTGTTCGTCGATCTGAATTGCTTCCGATACCGGGGACACCACGAGCTCGACGATCCGACCTTTACCAATCCGCTCATGTACAAAATCATAAACAACAGACCGTAAGTGTGCGTGTGTGTGCGTGGGGACTCTTTGCGAGATCACCGCCGACGGTATAATTTTTTTTCTCGTCCGCAGATCGATACCCGATCGCTACGTCGAATGACTGATCGGGGCCAAAGTTCTGAGCGCCGATGCAGCCACGAGGATGACGGACGAGTACACGTCGAAGCTCGAGGAGTGCCTGAAACGCGCCGACGATTACGAGCCGCAGGCCGCGTACCTTCGGGGCCGATGGTCGAAGATCGAACGAGCCGGTGCCAACGTGACCACTTGGGACACGGGCTGCGATCTCGATCTTCTGAGGTACGTCGGTAGAAAGAGCGTCGAGTATCCCGAAACGTTCGGCGTTCATCCCGAGCTGCGAGAGGGTCACGTCGCGGCCAGACTGAGGCAGATCGAGACGGGCAGGGGCCTGGACTGGTCGAGCGCCGAGGCCGTGGCCTTCGGCAGTCTGCTGCTGCAGGGCTACGACGCGAGGCTCAGCGGCGAGGACGTCGAGCGGGGCACCTTCGTCCAGAGACACGCCGTGCTGATCGATCGGTTCACGGGCCGGTCGTACGTGCCTCTCAACGCCGTGACGTCGGTGGGTAATAATAACGACGACGATGAGATCGGCAAAATCGAGGTGGCCAACAGCGTCCTTTCGGAGGAGGCCGTGCTGGGCTACGAGTACGGCTGGAGCGTGACCCTGCCCGACTGTCTGACCATCTGGGAGGCGCAGTTCGGCGACTTCTGCAACGGCGCCCAGTCGATGATCGACACCTACGTGAGCGCCGGCGAGACCAAGTGGCGCCAGAGCAGCGGCCTGGTGATTCTGCTGCCGCACGGCTACGACGGGCCCGGACCCGAGCACAGCTCCGGCAGATTGGAGCGATTTTTGCAGATGACCGACAGTCGAGAGGACAAGGTCGACGGCGACGATGTCAATATGCACGTGGTCAATCCGTCGACTCCTGCCCAGTATTTTCATTTGCTGAGAAGACAGGTACGACGAGAAAAAACATATTTGAAACGATTCGTTTATTTATCATATTTGTTTTTTCATTCGAAGGTGGTGAGAAACTTTAGGAAGCCGTTGATAGTGATCACACCGAAGGCACCGATGCTCCGAAATCCCGCGGTAACTTCGACTATCGACGAGTTAGCTACCGGCACGACATTTAAATCTGTTATCGGTTTGTGTACTTTTTTTGTTCCTTTTTCGATCAACCGATTTAATAATCATCATTAATAATGTGATCAATTATAAATAGGTGACGACAAAGCAATCGACGAGAACGTCACGAAAGTCATACTGACATGCGGCATGTACAAAAATGCACAAAGTTGGTATCGAACATGAAGAAAAAAATGAGTAACAACTTCGAGCGCTTCTTACAAATAATTTTTAATATTGCAGCTTACGTTTGGAGTCAAGAGGAGCCACGAAACATGGGAGCTTGGAGTTTCATAAAGCCACGATTCGAAAATCTGTGCGGTCGAAAGGTACGTATCCATACGCTAGATTTACGAATGCGAGAACGATTATCGAAAAACAATTTGACGTTTTTACAGTTACGTTATTCCGGTCGAGAGCCGCTCGCAACGCCGAACGTTGGTATTGGAAAATTGTTCGAAAAACAAAGTAGAGATGTCATCGTTCAGCCGTTTGCCATGACATGAAAGTTAATATGCATTGTAGCCAATATCTATGATAAAAATAACTAATCTGGTCGAAATTAAAAACACTCGATCGCGTACAAGTAAGATTTATTTTAAAAAAAGTCGGAAAAATAAATTAAAATTCTAAAAATCCATGAATCCTTAACTGAAATCTTATTCAATACTCCAAGAAAAATACACCATAGATGGTCAGAAAAAAAAGGACAGAGTAACAAAAGTTATACTCGGCTGCTGGCCTGCAGCGAATCGCCAACTGTATATCAATATACGTGTATACGAATGTCGGCTATAGCTGTAGGTAGGAAAAAAACGAGTCCGCCGCGCGATCCGCTCTTTTAACATCTCTCCGCGCGTAATTTATAAATCGAGCTGCGCAGACTGACTATTATATATTTATTACGAGACTCTGTACATACACGCACACACACATACGCACTTATAAATATCGAACAGCTGAAAAGAGAAAGAGAGAGATGAATAATCGATTTCGATGTGTATATGCCTCTGTTGCAATTATGCAAATACATATATCGCGGAAAAATAAAGAGGGGAGTACAAGGTATGTATACGCAAGGCTGCTGTTGGGGCCCGATATAGAGATAATATTTATAATGGAAGTGCGCTGCACCGAGCGCGCAAGACAATGCTTTTGTGCGGTTTCGAGTGAAACGACGGCGGTGGAACAAAAAAAAAAATATATATATATACACGGGAGATTGACGTTCGATTATGGCCACCGATTGATCGTTGCTGCTATTACCGCTGCGGGCCATTTTAATATAACAATCGGAGAAAAGAGTGAAAATCTCTCTCTATGCGGTTTTTCGATCAAAGCTCTCGACCGGTGTACCACTATGCTATACGTTTGAAGTATAATACGCGAAAAATAAAAAGAGCAGCAGCGTCAGCGAACAGCGAGTCTGCAATTTTTCTCTCTCTCTCTCTACCATCTCCACGATACATCGGGACGAGAAAAGAGAGAAAAAAAAGGAAAAACACAGCCGCGACGATCCGGCGGCGGCGTCGGCGTGCACTCGACAACGGAATTTCCGAAGCAATCGATGAGCTACTACTTTATATCGTATATACATCGTACGTCGAGACGACAACAACGCTAAACGCACATCGAGCGCGCCATAAAACGTAGAGAGCGAACGAGACCGAAAAAGAGAGAAAAGAAAGAAGAGACCGCGCGCACTATCGCGTACGTATAGTATACACACATTCATAATATACAAAGTGCGCGTAAAAGCTTTCTCTCCCTCGTGCGTCGCGTCGCGTCGCAGCTGGACCATCCCTCACAAGAGAGAGAGAGAGAGAGAGAGAGACGCAGAGAGACGAAAGGCAAAAACCTTCAGTTTTTTTTTTACTCTCACTCTCGACGCGAGATATAATAACGAGAACGAGAGTGGCGCGCGCGCGCGCGTGTAATAGTATATTGCACACAGCCAAGCGGCCAGGCGTTTATAATAAAGAGCTAAAATATCAATTACTTCGTACTGAATATAACGCGCGTATACGAGGCGATCGAGTGACGAAAGGCCCCGTGGCGTATAATACATTATTATCGTCGCCTCGCATAAAATGCAACACCGCGTCGTCGTCGTCGTCGACGCGAGGCGGAGGAGGAATTAAGAGCGAGAGAGAGAGAGAGAGAGAGAAAGCGGTATGTAACACAGAACGTTAGGTTCTTTTGTGTCGACAAGTGTATTATGTGCGAGAGAGAGAATGACGCGATCGATAAGTGTATAAGTGTATACAAGTGCCTTCGCCTCGCGACGATAGCCTCGGAAACAATATAACGTATCAGGTATATATGTATGTGAAAAAGCTCTATGGCGTTGGTCGAAACGTAACGACACGTTTTGGATGTATCTTTTTTTGACCACACGCAGCACACATAGGAGAACGAAAGCTTGTATCTCTCTGTCGAGCGAGGCCCCCCCTTATACATACGTATTAATACATCCCTGACCCCCAACGCGAGCGCGTTGAAACGAAAGAGAGAGAGAGCTGGCGAGCTTTAGCATCAGCAGCAGCCACCGCTGCCGCCGATGAGTCATCCGTTTTCTCCGGCGGGGCGAGGGTACATATACTATACCATATAGGTAGAGTAGAACCGGAGCTTGGAAAAGCGAGGGATGTCGAGAGGAGAGAGAGCGAAAGCGAGGAACCCCTTTTCAAATCGCAGACAAACTATGGGGGAGTGTACATGGGGAGGCTGCTGCTGCTGCGAACTCGACTCGAGCTCTTGCTGTACGAGGGAGGCTCGTGATGCTGCTGCTGCTGCAATGCTGCCTATACTCGTGTTTTACGCGAAAAATTTACATAGGACGACGACGAGGCTTTAATACATTTTTTTAAGATAAAATTTATGCGCTCGCGTATACGCTCGGCAGTTTGTTCCTGTTCTCTCTGTGCAGCAGCAGAGTCGTCGGCGTCACGCGTAATATTTTTTCGATTGCACAAAAGTATCTAACGCAGCCATTTCGAGCTCGAGCAAAAGCCGTGAGCTTTATTTTTCCCGTTCTTAGGATAGGGAGCCTCTTATTATTAATATTTCAGGTTGGCTATGGTATATAATACGTTTGATACGAACTCGAGGCGGCCGTAACGCAATCTTTCGAAGCGAAAAGAAGTTTTTTTTTCTGCGAGCTTTTAACCTGACGCGCGAAACGTAAAGAAAGGAAAAAAAAAGCGTGTAACTAATGAGCTAACGCAATTTGCCGCCAGGTTCGGGTCAGAGATTCTCGCGACACTTTATTTTGCATATTTTATTATTATGCAGGCGAGCGAACTCGAGTATACGCGGCGGCGTAGTGTGCCTTTTTCCAGAATCGCGAATTCACCGTATAAACTTTTTTCTGCTCTTTTTTCGTACCCTCGTTATACTTGAGCGTGAATTTTAATAATTTCACCGCACCACGCGATTTTTTAAATATTTTATGGGTGTACGTGTTGTAATATACATTTCGAATCGAGCGGTCGGATTTTCTCGGCACGAGCGCGAGCTCGCGCGCCTGTGCATATTATACAGCCTTGAATCGATCAATTGTTTCGAGCTTCGTACGCTGCGAATGAGAATTATGATAAATTGATATTACGACTTTGTCGAGAGACGCACGCGCTAGATCCATGACGTTTTCGTAATGGAGATAAAAACGCGGGCAAAAAAATATACCTCGCGCGCTATAAGCGCCATAAAATTTATCCAATTCGTCAACTATGGAAAATCCATCGTAACCCGATTAAAAAGCTCGTTACAAGAAGCTATGAAATTCTCTCGGGTGCTCGTCCGTCGGTGCGCGGGCTGCTGATTACGTGGTTTATGCAGTACCCACTTATGTATGCGGCGGCGGCGACGGCGGCAACGATCGAGTTCGATCAAAGAATGGCTGCTGCTTGAAAAGTCACTTTTGGTTGGCCTTAATAAGATCCGACGCGTGTTCGTGTGTGCACGCCACCGTTTCGTCGAGCCCGAAAAATCCAACACGGGGGATATCGCTGCGTATTCCGCAGAAATTCCACGACGTCATTCGATCCCTTTAAAGGATGTCGTCCGTGTCCGTGTGTTTACGGCCAGTCTCGACGAAAAACAAGCGCAGGAGACGAGCTCGAGCTTGTAACTGACCGGGTCCGTTTGACACGAACACGATCTGATTTTTATTTTGATTGCGTTTAAACCGTTTTAAAGAATTATTGTCACACTTTGAGATGATATTTATAAATCGTGATGTATGTGTAGGCAGCAGCAGCAGCAGCAGCAGCACACGAGATCGATGCGAATAAAAACAGACGAGACCTCGACTCATCGACCTTGATAAACTCGTATATTATACACTCGGTCGAGCTCGCAAAAATCTTCTTCTTCTTTTTATCATTACTTTTTTCTCGCTCCGATCCTCTCGCCGCGATGAAATATCCTTTTTCCCCCCTTCGGCTATATTCGTCTCGCCGTACGGCGGCGATAGCGGCGACGACGGTGTGGAGCAGCAGTTCGTATTAATCAATGGGCGATCTAAAAGTGGCTTTAATGATAAAATATCAATAGAATACAACACCTGATATCGATCGGAGAGGCATTGGAAAACCTGTTGTGCGTCCACACACACATATCTCGCAAAGTTGCACTGTAGCTCGTTTTTTGCCAAGAGTATATCTTTATACACAAAAGATCGACTGCAGAGAGAGAACAATTTCTCCCGTTGAGCGACTGAGGAGGAAAATAAGGAAATCGTGACGCCGAGAAAAGACGCCGCCGACGATTTCACGCTGCAGAAAACCGAGAAGCTGCCGAGGATGTATAAGTGGCAGTAGTAGTAGTGGGAGGAGAAATAATGGTGCAGTTCGCGAGTGATTCGTGACATTTTTATATTGTTCGCCGATGATTATACACACCGCTAAATCGTTTAATATAAAAAAAAAAATTGTACAAAGACCACGAGAGATGATCGTGGATTTCGGTGCACGTCGTAAACGAGTCGAGCCACGGACTTTCACGAAAAAAAAAAAAAGATCGAGCGAGTGCAACGATCATATTATTGTATGTGTAAAAGAGTCATTGCCACCCACGTAACGACGAGCGAAAAGAAAGTGTCGCCCTGCAGCGAGCTTGTGTTATATATACACGTCATTGCGAGCGCCTTCCTTTTGTGCGCGATGCGCTCTTTTTTTTTATATACGCAACAACAACGATACAGACGCTTCCGAGATGAATTTCCTCGAATCGGCTTGAATTAGTTTATGACTTTTCGCGACGACGAAGATGACACTGATCATCGACGCCCGCGATTTTTATCGCTCCTTACGCGCGCTGGAGAAAATATATGATACTAGCGCGTGTGTGTGCGTGCGATGTGTACCAATTTCGCGCGCGAGACACGTAATCGTCCAACTTTCATTCGTACATAAACTACTAGTCTTGGCGCCGGAATAATAATAATTATATGGTAATTAATAATATACAACTTAATGCCTCACCGTGTATATTTATTTTATAA